AAACTATAATTTAATCTATAATTCATTTATTCATATGATTCATTATGCTCTGAATGTTACTGGGTTGATTGGTGGGTAAACTGGAGAAAAGTGTTCAAAAAAAAAAATCTCATTTACTTTTTCTCTTTCTTCTTATCCCTTCCCACTCAGGGCATACCAGGAGCTCCAGGTGCTCCAGGACTTCCTGGAACTAAAGGGGAGCCTGGTGACATCTTCACTTTTCCAGGAATGAAGGGTGAAAAAGGAGAGTTTGGTGCTCCTGGAGCTCCGGGACTTCCTGGTTTACCCGGCATGCCTGGGCAGGATGGATTTCCAGGTCTTCCTGGCCCCAAAGGAGAGCCTGTGAGTTGGTTTGATATTCTTAGTATTGTAATGTCATATTGTCACTTAGAAATGTTTCCTAGGTGCTGGGTGTGTTACGCATGCTGAATACACATGAGGTCCTGAGTTGAGTCTTCAGTCCCAAAAAGAAAAAAGTTTTCTAAATTAAAACTAAAGATAGGCCTGGTACTGAGTTTAATACCCAATCAATGCTTGAAAGAATGAGGTTATATATAGTAAACGTACATTGTTACTGTGTGGGGTTTCTACTCTTTTAGTTGATTTATAAACTTCTTAATTCAGCATGGAGGTGTGTACCTATATTCTCAACACTTGGAAGGTGAGACAGGAAGATAATAAGTTTGAGAACACCCTGGGCTGGTTCAATACATAGCAAGTTCAATACATAGTGAGAAACTATCTCAAAATCCTTAAAAAATAAGTAAACTTCTTAAACCTTTACTATACTATATTGAGTAATACTGGCTATGAATATCTGGGTAGAAGGTTAAGATGCTTATAAATCTGCATAAGAGTCATCCTCTCCAAATTTATATATAGTAAGTTTGTAGATTAGTTTGAATAGATGCCCATGTCCAATATACCACAGAGCCACCAATTGAACATTAATGAACAGTCTCCTTTTTGTACAAAACATAGCCCAAGATATTTAGGTGGGAAGTATATTTTATATTATTTAGACTACAATCTTCTTGACATACTAGTTTACAAGACTTGCAAGAAGAGAGATTTGTGTCTACTTATATTCTCTGCTGCATCACTAGCACTTGGCACAAAAGAGGAGCTCAAAAATACTTCTTAAATGAGTGAATGACTACATGAAGTGATAATACATTTCAAACCATAATACTACACACTTGGATAGTTTGTAAAAATTATTGGTACGTTTTTGTAGTACATAGTGATTATATTCATCATGTGGAATATATACACGTACAAACACATCTTCATTCTTTTTGCTACCCCATTCCCTCTACTCCCTCCTTCCTCCATCTCTAGATTCCTTCCCCACTTGTGAAAGATCCATCTTCCTGATTCCTATTATTCATCCTTTTTTCCTTTAAATTATTTATACTTAAGTATAATTTATACTTAATTTATTTAAATAAGAATCCATGTGATATTTGAACTTGTATGTCTAATTTATTTCACTTAATATTATGGTCTCAAAGTGTATCCTTTTCCTACAAATTACTGAAATGTGTCCTTTTTTATGGCAGAATTGTACTCCATTGTGTATATATACCACATTTTTTTTATTCATTCATCTGTTTATGGACATATAGACTGCTTCCAAGATTTAGCTATTATGGGTTGTGCTGTTATAAATATGGTATATGTATACCAATATAATATAATGTCTCTAATTCTTTCAGGAAGATTTCTAGAGAGGGAATAGCTAGGTCAAATGAAATGTCTAGTTTTAGTTTTTTGAAGAATCTCTATACTAATTTTCATACTGATTGTACTATTTTATATAGCTTTTAAGAATTGTTTATGATTCTGTTATTTTGCAGCTTGTATTCAGTAACACAAGCCTACAGATAGTTGTTAAATCTATGCGTTTCTTTGTCATCAAACATTTCCCTTTTCAGGGTGGAATTGCTTTTAAGGGTGAAAGAGGTCCCCCTGGGAATCCAGGTTTGCCAGGTCTCCCAGGGAATATGGGACCCATGGGCCCTGTTGGTTTTGGCCCTCCTGGTCCAATAGGTGAAAAAGGCATACAAGGTATTGCAGGAAACCCAGGCCAGCCAGGAATACCAGGTAAGTTTAATGTCTGTTTTGTTTTAAATTTGGTGCTTGAAAGTAGAAATTTGTTACCATTTGGACACTCTGGGCTTCCTTTCCTGAGAGACATATTTTTCTGACCATTTTTATTTGGACTCTTAGAGTTCCTTAGTAAAGGAATATATGTTTTGTTTTGTTTTGCTTAAATTTTTATTGGTACATTTTAGATATACAATACATTTACATTTATCACTGGGTGTTTGTACCTGTACATGATGTATCTTGGTTCTTATTTTTTCCCCATTACCTGTGTGTCCTCCCTGCTCCACCCTTCCCTATTTACATAGACTTTGTTTCCATTTTATTCTTTCTCATAATTTTTCCTTTCCCTTCTTGTTTTTTAAAGGGGTGTTTCTCTTTAAATTTTTTGTCTTTCTTGTTATTGTTATTTTTGTAATTATTAAGTCTGTAATAAGTAATGCAATGCTTAACAAATAATTATAATAGAAATACACATGAAGCTACCACACACATTAAGAAATAGAACACTACCAGCATCCTAAAAGACCTCACCTTCTCTCCCTATCCTTTCCTAATCACAGTCCCCTTCCTCCTCTCCCAAAGTAGCTACTGTTCGGACTTTTACATGATTACCTTCCATTTCTCTGTGTTTTATCACTTATATATATATTTTGAAACAATTTTGCTTCTTTTTGAGCTTCATGTTAATGGAATCATGGGGTAAGAGCTATTTATTTTAACTTTTATATTCATTTTCGTTGATGTTTCATTTTGGTTTTTGAGACAGGGTCTCACCATGTAGTACAGACTAGCCTCAGACTCACTATGTAGCCCAGGCTGGCCTCAATTCATGGCAATCTTCCTGCCTTGGCCTCCCCAGCATTGGAATTACAGGCCTGTGCTACCACGCCTGGCATTCTTTTTTGTCTTGGTTTGTTTTTTTGTTTTGTTTTCTTTGGTTTATAGGATCCCACTGTGTGTGTGTATGTGTGTGTGTGTGTGTGTGTGTGTGTGTGTGTATCACAGTTAATTCATCCATTCTGCTGGTAATGAAAAAATGGGTTACTTACAATTTAGGCCTATTATAAAACATACATCTATATGCAGTCAAATATATATAT